GGAGTTTTACAGTACCTGGTCTTACATCTAAGTCCTTAATACATTTTGAGTTTATTTTTTAATATGGTATTAGAGAATGTTCTAATTTCAGTCTTTTACATGTAGCTATCTAGTTTTCCGAGCACAACTTATTGAAGAGACTGTCTTTTCTCCATTGTATATTCTTGCCTCCCTTGTCATAGATTAATTGACCATAAGTGCGTGGGTTTATTTTTGGACTTTCTATCCTGTTTCATTGATCTATGTGTCTGTTTTTGTGCTGGTACCATACTGTTTTGATTACTGCAACTTTGTAGTATGGTCTGAAGTCAGTGAGTGTGACTCCCTCAGCCCCATTCTTCTTTTTCAAGACTGTTTTGGCTATTCAGGGTCCTTTGTGTTTCCATACAAATTTTGACATTTTTTGTTCCATCTCTGTGAAGAATGTCATTGGTAATTTGATAGGGATTGCATTGAATCTGTATATATTGCCTTGGGTAGTATAGCCATTTTAACAACATTGATTCTTTCAATCCAAGAACACGGTATATCTTTCCATCTGTTTACGTCATCTTCACTTTCTTTCATCAGTGTCTTATCGTTTTCAGAGTACAGGTTTTTGCCTCCTTGGGTAGGTTTATTCCTAGGTATTTTATTCTTTTTGGTGCGATGGTAAATGGTATTGTTTCCTTAATTTCTTTGTCTGCTATTTCATTGTTAGTGTACAGAAATGCAACTGATTTCTGCATCCTATGACTTAACTGAATTCATTGATGAGTTCTAGTAGTTTTCTGGTTGCTTCTTTAGGGTTTTTTATGTACAGTACCATGTCATCTGCAAACAGTGACAGTTTTACTTCTTCATTTTCAATTTGGATTCCCTTTATTTCTTATTGTCCTCTGGTTGCTATGGCTTCCAAAACTATGTTGAATAAAAGTGGCAAGAGTGGGCATCCTCATCTTGTTTCTGATCTTAGAAGAAATGCTTTCAGCTTTCCCCCATTAAGTATGATGTTAGCTGTGGGTCTGCCATATATGGCCTTTATTATGTTGAGGTATGTTCCACTGTGCTCACCTCCTGGAGAGTTTTTATCATAAATGGATGCTGAATTTTATCAAAAGCTTTTTCTGAATTTGTTGAGATGATCATAGGGTTTTTATTCTTCAGTTTGTTAATGTGGTGTATCACATTGATTGATTTGCAAATATTGAAAAATCCCTGCATTCCTGGGATAAATCCCACTTGATCATGATGTAAGATCCTTTTAATGCATTGTTGGAGTCAATTTGCTAGTATTTTGTTGAGGATTTTTGCATCTATATTCATAAGTGATACTGGCCTATAATCTTTTTTTGTGATATCTTTGTCTGGTTTTGGTATCAGGGTGATTGATGGTGGTCTCATAGAATGAGTTTGGAAGTGTTCCTTCCTCTGCAATTTTTTTGGAAGAGTTTCAGAAGGATAGGTGTTAACTCTTCTCTAAATGTTTGGTAGAATTCACCTGTGAAGCCATTTGTCCTGGCCTTTTGCTTGGTGGGAGTTTTTAAATTACTGATTCAATTTCAGTACTGGTAATTGGTCTATTCATATTTTCTATTTCTTCTTTATTCAGTCTTGACAAATTGTATCTTTCTAACAAATTGTCCATTTCTTCTGTGTTGTCCTTTCTGTTGGTGTATAGTTGCTCATAGTAGCCTCTTATGATCCTTTGTATTTCTGTGGTGTTGGTTGTAACGTCTCCATTTTCATTTCTAATTTTTACTAATTTGGGCCCTCCCCCTTTTTTCTTGATGAGTCTGACTAAAGGTTTATTAACTTGGTTTATGTTTTCAAAGAACCAGCCTTTAGTTTCATTGATCTTTTCTAATTTTTTTTAGTCTCAATTTCATTTATTTCTGCTCTAAACTTTATGATTTCTTTTCTTCTATTGACTTTGGGTTTTGTTTGTTCTTCTTTCTCTAGCTGCTTTAGGTGTAAGGTTAGGTTGTTTAATTGAGATTTTTCTGGTTTCCTGAGGTAGGCTTGTATCATTATAAACTTCCCTCTTAGAACTGCTTTTGCTGCATCCCAGAGGTTTTGTATCATTGTGTTTTCATTTTTATTTGTCTCAAAGTATTTTTTGATTTCCTCTTTGATCCATTGATTGTTTAGTAGCATATTGTTTAACTTCCACATGTTTGCAGTTTTTGCAGTTTTTTTTTTCTTGTAGTTGATTTCTAGCCTTATAGCACTGTGGTTGAAAAAGATGCTTGGTACAGTTATAATTTTCTTATATTTACTGAGGCTTGCTTTGTGGGCCAGCATGTGGCTGATTCTGGAAAATGTTCCATATGCACTTGAGAAGATTGTGTATTCTGTTGCTTTTGGATGGAATGCTCTATAGATAGCAATTAAGTCCCTCTGGTCTAAAGTGTTATTTAGGGCCTGTATTTCCTTATTGATTTTCTGTCTCGATGATCTGTCCATTGATGTAAGTGGGGTGTTAAGGTCCCCCACTATTATTGTGTTATTGTTGATTTCTCTTTTTATGTCTGTTAACAACTGCCTTATACATTGAGGTGCTCCTATGTTGGGTGCATATATATTTATAATTGTTATATCCTCTTCTTGGATTGATCGCTTAAGCATTATGTAGTGTCCTTCTCTGTCTCTTGTAACAGTCTTTATTTTAAAATCTACTTTATCTGATACAAGTATTGCTACTCCAGCTTTATTTTGGTTTCCATTTGCATGGAATATCTTTTCATCACCTTACTTTCAGCCTGCATGTGTCTCTAGCTCTGAAGTGGGTCTCTTGTAGACGGCATACATATGGGTCTTATTTTTGTATCCATTCATCCAATCTATGTCTTTTGGCTGGAGCATTTAATCCATTTACATTTAAAGTAATTATCAATACATACGTTCTTATTGCCATTTTGTTCATTGTTTTGGGTTTGTTTTTGTAGGTCTTTTTTTCTCTTTCTTCTTTTTGTTCTCTTTTCTTGTGGTTTGATGACTATGTCATGACCCTCTCTTGGTCTAATTCATCCTTCAGGTCTCAGCCTAATGCCATACTTCTATGGGAGAAGCTTCCAGCACCCACCAGACAGGCTGGATCCCCTACATTTGAAAAACCTGGTCAACTTGTGTCTTCCCTGCTAGATGTAAACTCTAGGAAGGCAGGGGCCATGTCTCTTTCACTAACCATTGTAGACACTAGATAAATGCAACTCACTAAATAAATGGAAGGATAAATGGCATGCCCAAATAAACGTACTGAGCTATATAATGGGCCTCTGAAAATAGCCTTGGGATTTTTATCTTCATAATCTTAGCAATTGCATCCATACCTGAGGATTAGAATTGAAACTCTGTATTCAGGCCAGGTGCCAAAACTGCCCCAACGACAAAACTAATCAGTTGCTGAGCTTTGATCAATGTACCCTAGGACCAAAGCATGAAATATACCATGGCTTCTACTTCTCTAGAGCAAACTAGATTCTGTTTTTCATGAAATAAGAAACAAAAGAAAAAGAAAAGGAGAACAAAAGGAAGGGGAAGAGGAGGAAGAAAAGGAAGAGGAGGAAAGAAGGGAAAGGAGAACACTTGTCACTTACTGTATATTTTAGCAAAAATTAGTAAACCATTTAACCAATCTTTATTCCTCAAATCTCCAGTGAGTCAGATAGTTGAAATGCTATGTTACAGCTGTTCTCGAATATGTTTATGAACAACTATGCCAGAAGCAATCACCATGTCATAAAAAAAAATACACATCCATGAAAAACACAGTACTAGTTTCTGAGACAACATCTGAGGCAAGCCAAAAGACTGGCAACAGAATGACTCCATTTAAACCTACTCGTAGATCCTACCACACCTCCAAACCTGGCCTAACACATCTGCCCAGCTCATGATTTGGCCTATGAAGGGTAGGTGTGGAAAGAAGAACATAATAGAAGGGAGAAGGAAGAACTGGAAGAAAAGATCAGAAGAGGACTTCAGAGCAATTTACACTCACTCAGTAGAAGACTGGGGAAGGTACAGAGGGATAAGAATTGAGGTTTTCCTTGAGATTTCCCCTTATCCCTACTTCTCTACACTCACCTCTAACACTCTGCTAGGAACTAAACATGGTAGCATTTTCCAGAATATAAAACAAAGGAAATCTATAGGCCTAGGTTACCTCATATTCATCAAAAAATCTTCATGGTTGCCTCTGTTCAAGTGCAGGTCATTGGGGTAGACAAGGAAACTCACTAACAGGATCATTAGGACCTCCATGGAATTTCTTCCTCGATCTACAAAATCACCATTAAAAACATATGGGTTGCTCACTGAGGGGAGACCATTCTGTGGAAGGAAGCAGGGAAAAAACAAGCAGTTAAAAGAATGTACTTTTAAAGAAAGGCTTTGTACTCAATATCCCTGTGGATATGGAGAAAAGAGGCCGAGTCAGTTCTGGGAAAAACCTGCTCACTCACTCGAGTCAGTTTCACTCTTCCAGGGCAGGCATCCCCTGCAAGGGACTTTGAAAGTGAAGAATAAGCTTCAGACAGGAAGGTTCCAGGGAGACAAGGACTGGTCATTCTACACACCATCACCTATTATGAGTTATCTCTGAAAGAAATGGATTATTTGTCCTATCAAAAATGGCTACTCTCATCTCCTCCTCGGGTAGAAGTTTCCCTCTTCTATCCAAGGAAGAATACTGAACTAAGAGCCAAAAGTCTTTCTTTCTAAGGGACCCTATGTTTAACTTCTCTGGGCTGTGAGTCCCTCAATTTGGAAAAAAAAGGGATAACACTATATTCTCCACACACACCCCTACTACAGATTAAGTGAGAGAATGAATATGAAAATACTCAGGAAAGTGTAAGGTACTGCCCAACCGTGAGGAGGGCTAATACACCATCAGTACACTCTGATACAATCATACCAGGTGTTGCCAGTGTATGTTTTGACTGCCCACTGACCAGGTCATGTTAGTTGTTAAATATTTTGATTACCCCTCCTGAGTATGCGATAACACTTTTAACACAGTCTTTGCATGAAAAAGGACTGGGATCAGGACAAAGGTCTGGTCTTTATAGCAGCTACTGATTCATTTACTTCTGTACTAAGATACTCTAAGACAAAACACATGCCATGCCTGGTAGGGAAATGGTTGCGTGCATCTCTAGTGCATGGTAAGATAAATTCAAATGTTTAAAAAATATATTACAAGGAGAAAATTTTAAGTACTCATATATCCAAATATATATTCTCCTTCAAAAAAAGTTATCTTCAAGAAATAATTCCCATATTCTAGTTATATTAATCTTTTTCAAACGATTTTCAAATTTCTTTTTTGTTAGATTTCAAATTATGTAAGAAAATCTATTACTTTATACTCACCACCAAGTATTTATATATATTTAAACTGTTCATATCAATATGATAGAAACAGTTGAAAAAATATAATACAGGTTACAGCATATAACTTAGGGATTCCAGAAATCATTATGCAATAAAACATGTTATGAAGGCAATTGGAAACAAACAAGCAAGCAAGCTGTGGTGTGGTATTCTGGGCAAGAAGGCTTATTCTCCAGTCCAGCTCCACTATTACCCATGTGTCCTTGGACAAGTTATCTACTCTTTATGAACTGTAGTTTCCTCATCTGTTAAATGGGAATAATAACGTCCATCCTTATCACACAGAGCTACTTTGGAACTCAAATAAGACTGTGTGTATAAAATTGCATGAAAACCATACAGCACCATACAAATTAAGAGATTAATTTTATTATAACTTCCATGTTATTTCTAATTTTAAGATCTCATTATTTTACATTTTCTTATACATTAATTCACGTAACTTTATTCACACTGGGCTTAGATAGTATGAGCCAGTTATAAAAGTATAGGCTACTGCTCATCAAAACTTAAACAAAAGGGGAATGATTCTGCATCTCTAATACTCTTCTTTCCCCCAGACTTCAGCTGGCTGGAATGAGTAAGCTGGAGAAGTCTGAGGGGTGTTAGAGGCTATAGGTTCTACCAGGATGTCAAGGCCTAAAGGGGGCTTGAGCAGCAGCAGTGGAGAGCCCTGGGGTGAGAACATGGAAGAACTAGGCCTGAGGGGACATGTGGATCTCTTGGCTAAGGGGACACTCTGCCTCAGAGCATGTATGTGGTTCTGGTTGGGGGGAGAGGGATTTGGATCTTAATAGAAAAAGTACAGGAGTACTTCTTCTATATCTCTGAAGCTAAAAGAATCCCAGCACTCGCATTTAGGGACACCTAGGAACATAGAGACGTCCTCTCACACTCTTGATGCCGGAGTAGAAAGTGTAGTGCCTCCAACTATGGAGAAGGTTAACCTAGCTTAAGCAGGAAAATTGAAAACAGAAGTAACCTAGTACTTAAGGGGATCCAGTAACCAGAGAGAGGCAGACCAATCAGATCTGCTAAAGTCCTGTCCCCTAGTGAGACAGGACTGCTAGAAGAGACAGAAAACAACTTTTTTTTAAATAAGAGTACTATGAAATAAATAATAAAAAGTTAATAATTCTGGGCACTAAAAACATGCTATTCAAATTTAAAATATCAATGGATTAGAGGTAACTAAAAGAAAGAATGGTTGAAAAATGCATTACTTACCTGAAAGAGTAAGCAGATGAAAAACCTCTTACACAGAGCAAAAGGGAAAATGATGGAAATCATGAGGAATGAGTAAGAGATTAGAGTTCAGAGCCAAGAGAACTAACATGCCAATAATACGCATTCCAGAATCAGGAAAAAGAAACAGATGGAGAAGAGGCAATAATCACATAAATAAGAGAGGGAATTTTCTATGGTTAAAAAGAGACTTCAGCCTTAAGTTTGAAAGAGCTCATGACTCCTATGCTCAATAAACATGTATCAATTGCTTGTTATGTACTAAACACAGTTTTATGTGCTAGAAACACAGAAGTAAACAATATAAAGTCTCCGTGTTCAAGGAGCTTGCATTTAGAGACTATAGCATTCACATGTCCCATAGAGGAAAATACTCAAGAAAATATTCTAACCAATAGCAGTAACAATAAAAAGTCCTTAAGCCAGGGAAAGACTATGAGGAAAGAATACAGATGTGAACAATGAACCCTGCAATATATAATTAAATATAAATCAATAGCAATAACATGGAAGTTGTGTTTAAGTACAAAGCAAAGGTTAAAGAAATAGAAGAGACATACTATGAAGGAAAACCCAATAATGGTCAAGAAATAAAAATATGGCATAACCAATAGCTAAGGATTTGCAGGGGGTGGGGTGAAGGGAGAAAAGTAAAATTCTCTATAAATCTCATCTGACAGGGTGATGTACATGGAAAATGTGAAAATAAATACATTTATCTTACTGGAGGAGAGAGAGAATAATGGTGAAAGAATAAAGTTATAGCTACTTGATAAATATACACACATTATTTATTAGATATGTCAGAAATGGGAAGATAATGACTAGGGAATGCGAAAGCACAGTAAAAATGCCAAAGAAAACAGCAATTTAAAAAATTCATCAAAACAGCAAAAAGGGAAAAGGATGAAACAGTGAAATAAATACTAAACATAGTAGAATAGAAGTACATTTTTCAAAAACATCTGTTGTTATACTAAATATAAGTGAGTTAAATTCTCCCATTAAGGGACCTAATCAAACTTTCAAGCTTTTGCACAGCAAAGGAAACTATACACAAAATGAAAAGACAACCTACAGACTAGGAGAAAATATTTGCAAACAATGTGACCAACAAGGGCTTAATTCCCGAAATATATAAACAGCTCATCCAACTCAATAACAATAACAGAAAAAAAAATCCAGTAAAAAAAAAAATGGGGGAAGACCTAAACAGACATCTCTTTAAAGAAGACATACAGATGGCCAACAGGCACATGAAAAGATGCTCAATAACGCTAATTATTAGAGAAATGCAAATCAAAACTACAATGAGATATCACCTCACACAGTCAGAATGGCCATCATCAAAAAGTTTACAAATAATAAATGCTGGAGAGGGTTTGGAGAAAAGGGGACCCTCCCATACTGCTGGTAGGAATGTAAATTGGTGCAGCCACTATGGAGAATAGTACGGAGTTTCCTTAAAAAACTAAAAATAGAGTTGCCATATGATTCAGCAATCCCACTCCTGGGCATGTATCTGGAGAAAACTCTAATTTGAAAAGATACATGTACCCCAATGTTCATAGCAGCACTATTTACAATATCCAAGACATAGAAGCAACTTAAATGTCCATCAACAGATGAATGGATAAAGATGTGTTTTACATATATACAGTGGAGTACTACTCAGCCATAAAAAGAATGAAATAATGCCATTTACAGCAACATGAAGTGGATCCAGAGACTATCATACTAAGTGAATAAAGTAAGTCAGACAAAGACAAATATTATATGATACCACTTATATGTGGAATCTAAAAAATAATACAAATGAACTTGTTTACAAAACAGAAACAGACTCACAGACATAGAAAACAAATCAAAGGGGAAAGGGGGTGGGGAAGGGATAAATTAGGAGTTTGGGATTAGCAGATACAAACTACTACATATAAAGTAGATTAAAAAAACAAGGTCCTAATGTATAAGCACAGGGAAGTATATTCAATATCCTATAATAAATCACAATGGAAAAGAATATGAAAAAGAATATACACATATATATAATATTACTGAATCACTTTGCTGTACACCAGAAACTAACAGAACGTTGTAAATCAACTATACTTCAGTAAAAAATAAAAAACTAAAATTCTCCCATTAAAAAACCAAGATTACTAGGCTACATTAAAAACACAAAACTCAGGTATGTATAGTTTGTTAGGAATACACATGAAAAATATAGATAAAGGGAGGTTGAAAATAAGGTAAATGCAACAAAGAAAAAGCACAAAAATGTAAATATTAATATTAGACAACATGAAATTTAATATTAAAAGTGCTGTTTTAATATTAAAACAGGATCATAAAGAAACATATCATAACAGGCACTTTATGAAGAAGACACAATTCATGAACTTGCATTCAATAAACAAAAGAACAAATCTTTGCTTCATATATTTACTATAATTGCAAAAAGAAATTTTTTAAAATACATAGTAAATTCAGATTAAATTATTGCTTTAAAATAATGTCCACAAATTCTTTGACATTCCCTTTAAAAGGTGAAGCCTAATTTGCCATCCCTTGAATGTGGGCTAGACTTAGTGATTTGCTTCCAAGGAAGGAATAAGGGAAAAATGCAGAAGTGATGGTGTGCAACTTTGGAGACTAAGTCATAAAAGACACTGCAGCTTCCTATCTGCTCT